TGCAACAGACTATAAAATAGAACCTGAAAACTGTAAAACCAAAAACCCAAACACGTACATTGTGTACATATGCAACAGACTCTAAGATAGAACCTAAAAACTACAAAACCAAAATCCCAAACACGTACATTGTGTACATATGCAACAGACTATAAAATAGAACCTGAAAACTACAAAACCAAAAACCCAAACACGTACATTGTGTACATATGCAACAGACTAACCTGAAAACTACAAAACCAAAAACCCAATCACGTACATTGTGTACATACGCAACAGACTCTAAGATAGACCTGAAAACTACAAAACCAAAAACCCAATCACGTACATTGTGTACATATGCAACAGACTAACCTGAAAACTACAAAACCAAAAACCCAATCACGTACATTGTGTACATACGCAACAGACTCTAAGATAGACCTGAAAACTACAAAACCAAAAACCCAAACACGTACATTGTGTACATATGCAACAGGCTATAAAGTAAAACCTGAAACTATAAAACCCAAACATATCATTACTTGGTTTTTGGTTTCATGGTTTTCAGATTTCTTTCTTTTGTGTAGCTACAAAAAATAGGTGAAAAGGACATATGTGGAAGCACAATTGATTTTATAAACAATAATATTGAAACCGTAAAACTTCAGAAACAGGTTTTCTGGATGACAATTTTTGTTTATCTGGTCCCTATAACTAGCCATATATGGTAGATATCATTAACTATAACAACTCTACCCTCCTCTTTACTGCCATCACTTTTGATAAAGGAAGCCTTCAAATAGCTTGCTGCTTTATCAATGCCTGCTGGTAGAGCCACTTTGAATTTCCTTTCTTTCTTTACTGTTGCCAATGGAATAGCTAACCCACTATCAATGGAGTATGAAGCTGGATCAGCTTCAAAAATACTGTCAAATTTACGAATTTCATCACTAATAGCTGCAGTATTAAGACATGCTAAGACTACTTTTTTGTCTTCTATTTCTAGAGGTAGTTTTTTATACTCTTCAATGCATTCCTCTAGTTGATTGGTGATTAGCTTCTTAACACTCAGAACTTCACCTGGATCAGTACGCTCACTCACTGATGATGCAAGATGACAACCATGAGAAACTTGTTTTACCAGTTTACGAAACCTGTCCAACTGCTTCTCAACTGAATTCCTCTTAGCGCTAGCAATCTCTTCTGTCTCCATTAGTAGATCATTGCATCTCTTATCTAAAGCAGCTTTAAGCTCTTCAAACATTTCCTTGATTTCCTGTCTTACTTCTTCTTTACGTGTTGCTATCTGCTCTAGCATCTTCTCTCCATTAGCAATAGCTTCAGTGACTGGAGGAATGACTCCATCACAACTAGCAACACTTTTCTTTAATGCTTTACGTGCTGTTTCTCCTACGTCAATGTAATCTTCTATATTGTGATCCTTGTGTTTGATAGGTAGGCAGTTAGGACAAACTAATTTCTCGCAATCATTACAATAGTAAATCAGCTTTTGATCTGTATGCCGTTCACAATACCCCTCTTCATGCTTAATAGTAGGCAATTCAATGGATTCCTTTGTTTCTAAATCAATCAACTTGTGATTGGCTTCTTTCTTGTTTCGCTTATGAACTTTCTTGCAAAGATCACACAGAAACTGGCCACAATCACAGCAATACACAACAGCTGCATCACTGGAATCATCACACTTATCACACGATACTGCTTCCTTGCTAATGATCTTCTTTTTGATGGAAGCCTCTTTTGATTTATGTTCAAACCAAAGGTTTTGAGTGAGGCCTTCAATTTTACCATCAGGTAAATTAACGCTAGTGTCACACGTTGGACACTTTAATGAGGTATCAGCACTACCTTGCTTCTCTTTAGCTTTTATTAGACACTTCTTACAGAATGAGTGAAGACAGGGAAGCATGAGGGGGTCAGTGTAATACTCTGAACAAACCTCACAAGTCATAGTGATAGCTGGACTTGTGTTTTCTGCCATTTCTATTAAGAACATAAATCATCACAATGCCACTGACTGAAGAATGTTACTTTTAAGAAGTTTTCTTAGTCAAAAAGCAAGAGAATAGGTGAAAATGAACTGTAACGAGACAAAAGAGAGAAAGGCAAAAAGCATGCAACTCCACCTTAAAGTGGGTTGTTACTTGATCTGCCCACAAGTCACACATGGCGTCCAATGGTGATGCTGGTTTCAAGGTCTCAGTGGAATCACTCCATACTACAAGAGTCAAGGAGATCAACTATGATGGAGAAGAGATATATGAAGGGTAACAGTCATTTATTGTAATAATCCAGAATGTAGTTCTAGTTAATATGCCCACTAATTTAATTTATATTGCAAATTTAAGTTGGGAATTCTAAACTAAATAGATCTACCTTAAGGAGGCAATTTTTAGCAGGCATTTAATTTAGAAAATTTTAGCAATGTTAAAGAAATCGCTAACTTAAATTCCTGATTAAATTATTAATAGTTATTAGCATTAATTATTATAAAAAACGCTAACTTAAAAACCAGCCAAATGTCAGTATGTACTTGTAACATCCAAATGATACTGTAGTTTGCCATTAAATATGTTATGTATTTATTTGTAGGAGACCTTCTCTCTCTCAGAAACTAAGTGAATTAGCTCAACATGTTGACTTTAGAGAAGAGAGAGCTGATGATGATAATGACAGAGAAGAAGGAAAGAAGAAACAAGAGGAGGAGGAGGAGGAGGGAGTTTCTGGTCCTACAACTAAGAAACCAAGTCATCGCTGGCCATGGGAATTCACACACTCAAAACTCAAGTACATAAATACATGAATTTGTATAAACAAGAGTATAAATCATGTATCAATGTATTGCATACATAAAGGATAGTTAAACTTTATTATTAGTTTTGTGTTTATATCAGGCAAGC